TTGGTCACCGCTAAGCCCTTGTGCATTTCTGTGGACGGAGGGATGGATCCAACCTCGGGAGGAGGAAAAGGCCTCCTTAGCTCGGTGGCTCTGGAGGTGCTCTGAGCAGAGGCCGTGGCGCCAGCGACGGCACCGAAGGGAAGGCCACCACTGTGCTGGGGACTGATACCATGTAGCTGCAGCTGGCAGGGGCCCAGGGTGTGGAAGGAGCAGTCCCTGGAGACCAGCCTGAGAGAGACAGGCGGCCAGGAGTGTGCGAGCGGAAAGTCAGAGCCCCCGAGGTTTCTGCCTAGGAAGGTGTTTCTCCTGCCTCTGTGTCGGGATGGGGTGGGGAGCTCCTTCATGGCCTGAGAGTGCTCCCCAGCCTGGGCCCCGGCCGGCGCCCGCCTTCTGGCCTCGCATCTGCGTGGGCACGTCCGGGGGCAGCTGGAAACATGGGCCCCTGGCCAGAGATGACTGTGGCCGGTGCTTATGGGGCTGGGCCCGTTTCCTGGGGCCCTGTGAGGGAGAGGCGCTCAGGACACGGAGGAGAGGAGCCTGTGGGAGGAGGGACCAGCTGGATGAGCAGGAATCTGGGGCGGGGGGAGGAAGGCTTTGGGCAGGCAGGAAGGCAGGGGCTGTGACCTCCCACATCACTGTTTGTTCCCCACGCCCTAATCTTCCCCTGCGAGCTGGAAAGGCCAAGGCTGCCGGCTGGCTGCCACCAGAACAAATGGCTCTTGTTCCAGAGTTTGCCAAGGGCTCCCACTGCCAGATCCGAGCGCCCACCCTCAGCAGACACAGAAGCGCAGGACTTGATTACTTATTTATTCTTTCTTTATTTACAAGAACATCAAACTGAGGCTTAGAGAGTTCAACAACTTGCCCAAGGCCACGGTCAGCGGCAGGACTCAGGCTCTTTTGGTCTCAGTCTGGCGTTCTTTTCCCTCTTCTGCCGGGGCCCCCGATGCCGCCTGAGTAGCTTTGTGTTGTCTGGCTTTCCTGGTAACTGCGATGTGCTTGGTAAGGGCCACAGAAAGGGCTCCTTACCATGAGCTGTGGCCGTGAGGGGCTGCTCTGGAAAGGACTGGAGATCCGGGAGGAGAAACTGGGGGACACGTTATTGTCCCTGCCCCCACCCCCCAGGGTCAGAGCTGGTCACAGAGCACATGACCCTGTGGTGTCCCCTCCCCCCGCCTCGGGCTTGCTGCCCTTGCCCCAGCTGCCTTCTGCTTCCTCTTCCTCCCTGCCGTTTCCTCTTTCCCTTCTTGCAGAACAGACTCAGACCTCCCTTGGCTTTGGGGAGGGTATCTGACTTAGGGCCCGGGGTGGGTCTGGAATGGTCAATGTGGTTGGCCAAGGCCTTACTTCTTCCATTCAAACTGTACCGACTGAGTGCTGAGGTTGGAGTGGAACCACCGCAAAGTAAACAACAGGATGGAGGTCAGACACCAGGGGCAGAGTCTCTGAAGGCCACGATCCCCCACCTGGCTGTCCCTGAGTTGGTGTGTGTGTTGGGGGAGGGGGCAGTGCAGCCTCTGTCCTCTGGGCCCCTGGCTCATGCCTCGTACCCCGGATCCTTCACGCTCAGCGGCAGGGGTGCATGAGGGTGAGGCATGGGGATAGGCCTCGTGAGGCTCTTGAGAGGCGTCTCAGACTCTCTGCCATCCTCAGCTCATTTACATCTGTGCTGTTTGCATAGCATTGACCACCCCTTCCAAACCCTTCCAACTCCCAGACTCTTCCAGAAGTTTCCAGTTGCCTAAACAAAACATCACACTGTAGCTGAAAGCCATATCTTTTCATTCTGTCTGAGCACTCGGGGTTCCCTTACAGAGCTTCCTTCTCCAAGCTCTCCTCTTTCCTAAAAGTGATCATGATCTTCTCTACTCATTTCTCCTATAAAGTCCTGGGCTTCTTGTGCCTACCGGCCAGTCACTCCCTTTGCTGGAAAGGATCTTGGGACCAAGGTCTGAGTCAAGCTGATCTCTCTGAGCAAGCTCCTGAGTCCCAGCTGGAGGAAGGGGAACAAGTAGAGGATTGCTTGGGCTGACTTTCTGCCCCAGGAGGGCTTTGGGCCCTCCCAGACACGGCCTGTCCCTGCCCCATCCTATATGCTGAAGGCCTGGCTCCAGGCTCAGCCCTCTGGCGTCCATTCCAGACTGGCCTCTCCCCAACCGGAATATCTCCCAGGGGCAGTGGAGGATTTGGGAGGGGGTGGGGTGGTGGCACTCCCACCACTGGCCTGGTTCTTACTGTTCCCAGCCTCTATCCTTTACAGATCTGCAGAGTCCCAGAATAGGCACATCCAAGGACAGGCCACCAAGTCCCATTTCCTCGGGGCAAGTGCCCAGCTCACCTGCAGCCACAGCCATCCTGTCACCTGGCTACCTGAGCAGCCTAGCCATCTACCAGCAGCCCCTGATTGAGGCCCAGGGACATAGGGGATGCCTGATGAGGGCGCTTAAGTCCCCACTGGCCTGACCGGGGCTGGGGAGGGTCGCAACGTGGCTGCAAAGCAAGGAAGCAGGCCTTGGGGTTGACTGGGTAGCTACCGGGGCAAGGGGGCTGCTCTCCACCACCTCCTCAGGGCAACGTCCCTCTCCTGTGCTGCTGCTTGTAGTTTTGGGTTGTTGTACTGGGTGGCTGTGGCAGGTCCTGAGGGGTTTTTGTTTGTTTTTAACCTGTTGCTGCTTTGGGACACATTGATCCTTGTTCTTACCTCAGAAGAGGTCCCAGTGCCAAGTCTGGACGGCCTGCCAGCAGTTAAGAGATAGCTAGTTTGCCTTTCTATCTAACTTGGTTACTGAGTTACCAGTTGGGGCTGGGACACGGGTAGGACTCTAAGAAGTGCCACTTTCTGCTAACAAAGATTTAGAGGGTCACGGGGCAGCCGGCCTCACCCGGAACTGTCGGGGGGCCTCATCGTCCCTGGCCCGCCAGCCCAGCCTGGCCCAGCACCCCGGCAGCCATGCCTCCCTCACAGCCCCCCGGGGCCCGCTACGTAGGTGGTCCCTGCTCCCTTTCCGGGGCCTCTTGATTCTGAAGAAAGGGCTCGTGAGAAGGGAAGTGAAACCTGTGGTTCCACATGCCCAGGAGCCCCTCAGCTGTCTTTCCTGTGAGAGGCTCTGAGTCTGGCAGCCCTTGATCATCTTAGCTCAGCCCTCCACCCAATCAGTGGCCCCAGGCCCCTTTGAACGGTGGCACCTTGGCCTTCTTCTCGGAATAGCTGCCGAAGTGGAATGGAACGGAAAGAGGAGTGCAGAATGGGCAGTGGATCGGATGAACAGGAGGCCTGGCTCCAAGGGCGCTCTGCCCAGCGAGCCATGGGACTCTGAGCTCCTCCCTGAGCCTCTCTGGAGTCCAGGGAGGAAGTCTGTGAGCGCACTGATGCCAGGCATGACGTACTTGAGGACCTCCTGCTCCCCCTACACCCCCCCGCCCCAGAATCATGACTCTTCTGCTCTCTTGGGTGTCAGGTTTTCTACTGGAGGTTGGGGTCAGAGTTGGGGGAAAGGGCAGGCCGGGCCCCTGGAGGAGGGCAGGGCTGGAATCTCACAGGTCAGGATATTAGTGTGGGCCCCTGCTGATCCTCATCTGCTTTCCAGGGAGCATCTGGGCAGGCCACAGCAGGCCAGAGTCTCTGCTCCATCCCACTGCAGGCTCAGCATTGAAGCAGAGTGGAGGCGGGGAGAGTGCGTGTGGGAGGAGTGGGGTGGCTGGGAATGGGGCTAGACCGCTGGTTGCAGAGAGAGGGGAGTCAGAGAACCCAGATAGGAGGCTCAAGTCCAGGGTGAAGGAAGAAGGGGCCTGGGAGCGCAACCTAAATCCAGGCTCTTCTGAAATCCCCTTGTATTTCACAAGCGGTAACCTTCATGGCACATTTGGGGGAAGTGAGTTTGGGGTTTGGAGGCAGATCCCTAAAGAGGGCAGAGTGAGCTCCCATGGCCTGCCCCTTAGGTTCATGGAGCTGAGGGATGGAAAGGGCTTCAGGGCCCCTCCTACCCTTCCCCAACCTTCTCTATGAGATCTCGAATAACCCAAGGCTCTGGATCTTTCCTAATGCCTGCCCCTTTCTCCTGGGTTGTGGGTCCATTCTGAGGTCTGTTTCCCATGTACTTCCTGGCTGCTGGCTGCTGACTCAGCTCAGCTGATGCTCTGCTAGGGAAGCAGACACTGACTCAGGAGGACATTGAATCCCTTCCCCCAGATCCTCGGAGAAGGGCAGGGGCCGGGCATGGGGTAGACACTTGAGTGGTGCCTTGCTGAACTGTTCTTTCCATCCCAGACCGGTCCTTGGGATGAGAAGTGGGGGAAGGAGAGGGCACATGTGATATGTGAGCCACAGATGGAAAGAATGATTCTTCTGTCCAGTGGGATGGACCAGACTGGGCCTGGGGACGAGGATGTGGATTCTGGCACCAGCTTTTCCACCGCTGCTACATTCCCAACAGTGTCTGGACTCTGCTCCCCCTAGGCTGCAGCAGCTGCTATACCAGCTCTGTTCAAGGCTTAAGAGGAGTAGTGAGCTCACTCTAGAGACAGACCCGTCCGCCATGGCAGCCTCCCACCTGCTCCCACCATTTCTGGAAGTTTAAAAACAATTCTGCTTGGCTGCTACCCTGCCTCAGCAGTATACACAGGCACACACAGGGGTGTCCTGACCTTCGTGAGATCATAGGACAGTAGAGGTGACCGGTGACCAGAGCAGTCAGGGGGACAGAGGGCGGGCATAATTTGTGTTGTCAAGGGGGCTGGTGCCGGGCCAGCTCTGCTGGAAGGCCTCAGGCATTGAGGACCAGAGAGATAGGGCTCTCTGAGCACCCTGGCCTCTGGGCATCTGTTCCTACCCTCCCCTTGGCCTCTGTCCCAAGGAACTTGTGTCTGGTGGGGACCCTGAGCTAGAGCGTTGGTGGTGCTGAGGCCCTGGGGTTGCCAGAGAGGGCCCCGTGGGATACTTCGCCTGAGCTTCCAGCTGAGGCCCACTTCCTGCTAACCCAGACACCTGCCTCTCCCTGCAGGTTCCGAGGCTTCATCCTGCTGCTGACCTTCTTCATCTATACCTGTTATCACATGTCCAGGAAGCCCATCAGTGTTGTCAAGGTGAGGCTGGCCTGGCGGTAAGGAAGAATGTAGGAGATGCTGGGCCCCCCCCCAGAAATAAACTCTAGTAGAATGGTCTGGAACTTAATCCCTAACCGTAGTCACGGAGACAACGTCTTCACATGGCCGGCTTTAGTAGTTGTTCTTTTGGTAGTTGTTTTTCCTAGAGAGCTTTCCCTGGGTGCTCCTTTTGACAGCAGTGTTGCTGGCTGTGGGTGGAACCAGAGGGCAGGGACCCTGGGCTATACGGGCTCTGCTCAGACTCTCCTTGGCCTTCACCGAGGGTCTGATGCGGCCACTTGCCCCCGTAGCCAGTTCCTGCAGGAGGAGATGCCAGAGGAAGGAGTGGGGAGTCCAGTGGGCAGGCAGTGGTGCTGGTGTGGCTGGGGAGGGAGACTGTCTGCTCGTCTCTGGGCTGAGTGGGCTCTGGCTCTGGGAGGTGACCCCTGACCTGTGCACCCTCTTGCCTCTTCAGAGCCGTCTGCACCAGAACTGCTCGGAGCTGGTCAAGCCCATCAACGACAGCGACAGCCTCAATGACACGACGTGGTGTGACTGGGCTCCATTTGGTAGGAACGGCGCAAGATGCTCTTTCCCACTGGCCAACTTCCCGCCCCAGGAAGAGGTTGTCCGGGGCCAGAAAGGGCTTCTTGCGGGGGCAGCCAAGCACCAGCTCTCTGTCTCTCCCATCTGTTGTCAGATAAGAACAACTACAAGGAGTTACTGGGGGCCGTGGACAACGCCTTCCTTGTGGCCTATGCCATCGGCATGTTCATCAGGTAGGGGACGGGCCGAGCCTGCAACTGTCCCAGAGTGGGGGGGTTCAGAGCTGATGGCTCCCCCAGGCAGATAGGAGGCCAAGACGTGGGCACACACCACCAGCCCCTGGCCATTCTCCTTTCCTTCCCACGGTCACCCAGCCTACTCCTTCACCTGGCAGATCCCGTTTTTAGTAGCTTCTTTTCCTGGAAAGCCTTTCCCTGGATGTTCCCTCCGAGGTTATTCTCTCAGATGGCAGTGGCAGTGGCAGTGGTATGGCTGGAGTATGTTTTTTTTTCTGAACTGGGATCCTTTATGGGTGGCCCTGGACACAGACATGGCTAGGAAAACCCCCATTCTCTCCTGGGCCTAAATTAGCTCAGCAAACATGGCTTTGACGCAGCAAGCCTGCCATCTCTTGCCAGGAACCAAAAGTGAAGAAGGTAGGGTACTTCCTTCCAACAGCTCACAGCCTAATGGAGGTGCCCAATTCATCAACAGCTGCTTCCACACCAGTGTGGTGGCTCAGGGACAGAGGATGGTGGTGCCACACTCACTCAGCCCAGGGGGGCACGCCAAGGGACCGAGTGGGGAAGGAGGAGAGAGAGTGCAGCCTTAGAGTGCTGAGCTGCATGTGTTTGGGGGGCATCCAAGTTAAGATGTCCAGAAGGCATCTGGGTGTGATCCCGCAGGGGGAGAGATCACGGGGGACGGTACCGGGTTGGAGCTATGTAACATGTAGGTGGTAGTTAAAGCCATAGAATTGATGCAAGGGACTGCACCCCAGGGAAAGTCAGTGCGAAGGAGCGGTCAGCCAGGGGCAGGAGGGTGAGGAGGCCAAGGAGAGAACATTTCAAGGAGCGTGTTTATCAGTGGCAACTAAGGCAGGGAGGTCCAGTGAGTGGGGACCCAAGGGCCCCCCTGGCAGGTAGCAGACAGCACAGGGGTCATCAGTGGTCCCCGGGGCCAGGGCTGGCTCAGTGGTGTGGTGGGGAAGGAAGCAGGTGGCCAAGCTGAGGAGTGCAGCTGGTGATTAACCACAGATCCAACTCTCTTCTCCAGCGGGATTTTTGGGGAGCGGCTCCCCCTCCGTTACTACCTTTCAGCTGGAATGCTGCTCAGTGGCCTTTTCACCTCGCTCTTTGGCCTGGGATATTTCTGGAACATCCACATGCTCTGGTACTTTGTGCTCATCCAGGTATGAGAGGTCTTGCACTCAGACTTCTGCTCCGTCATGGGAAGGATTGCGGAGGCCCCTAGTCCTTCCCAGCCACCCCCTGGTCATGGCAGATCTGGGTGGTGAATAACAGATTTGGGTGGTGAATAACCCCTTCCCAGCCCAGTGCTCCTCTCTTAAGCTTTGGGATCCTTCTTCCCACTTCTCAACATCATGCAGATCATACATTTTTTTGCGCGGTAAGTTTGCCCAAGAGCCTCAGTCTCTGCAGGAAAGTGTCTTGGGCCAGAGGAGAAATCCACCTGTGGCGATTAGCGTGTGTGTGTGTGTGTGTGTGTGTGTGTGTGTGTGTGTGTGTGAGAAAGGGGTGCTCATAGTGTGGGCTGTGGAGGGCCCCACAGCCCGGGAGGGGGCAGAGGGAGTTTGTGGCACGGCCCAGGCCTGTCCCCCTTACGTCCAGTCTCCCTACAGATCTGTAACGGACTTGTCCAGACCACAGGCTGGCCCTCCGTGGTGACCTGCGTTGGCAACTGGTTCGGGAAGGGAAAGTGAGTGTGGGGAGGGAGGAGGAGCGGGAGGTACCCCAGGAGGGCTGCTGTGGGGAGTGAGGTCGCTCGTGGCCCCTCGTGTGATTTCAGGGTGAAAGGTTAGAAACTTGTGTCCGTCTTGCCGACTTTCACGTTTAGTTAAATGTTTTAGTAACTGAAAAGCATTACTGATTTTCTCATGGATAAGGTTTTAGTCCACGAAACAGGCCACCTTAGTTACACTTTCTCCTCATAATTGACGAATTTCCATTTTGCATGAAGGCAAAAATGAAGCCTATAAAACTGTATTATTATTATTATTATTATTTTGTACTTGAACTGGCTTTTGGGTAAAAAGAAAAAAAAGTTGCTTTCGAGCGGGCTTTCTCCAGCTCAGCCCTACTGGACATTTGGGGCTGGATCATTCTTTGCTCTGGGGCGATCCTACCGTTGGCAGGATGTTTAGCAACATCTACCCTCTAGATGCTGGTAGGGTACCCGGAGCTGGGACAGTTAAAAATCTCTAGACACTGCCTGTGTCCCCTGGAGGCAGGGTGGCCGTGGTTGAGGACCAGCAAGTGCTGTTGAGTAGAAGCCATGGGACAAGAGGGAAGAGAGGGGTGGGGGCTGGATGTCCTCGGGGTGGGGAGAGCTCCATCTGGAAGGCCTGTGTGAGCTGGCTCCAGTTGCTGGCTGCGGGGCGCGGGGCCCCAGGCCTTGCTGTCACTTGCTTGGCACCAGGCAAGCCCTCCCGCGCTCCCTGACTGGTTGTCTTTGGGCTTTGCAGGCTGGAGGCAGCCAGCTTTTTGCACTTGGCCAGGGCGGTTGTGATGAACCCTGTGCTTCTCTTTTGACTTTCTTTTACTCTTCTCCCCTTTCCTTTCCTGTCCTGCCTCCCTCCCCGCCAGGCGGGGGCTCATCATGGGCATCTGGAACTCACACACATCCGTGGGCAACATCCTGGGCTCCCTGATCGCTGGTGTCTGGGTCAACGAGCAGTGGGGCCTGTCCTTTGTGGTTCCGGGCATCATCACTGCTGCCATGGGCGTCCTCACCTTCCTCTTTCTCATTGAATGTGAGTGGGCCCCTCCCTCCCCACAGGGCTCAGGACTGAGCCTGCCCTTCTCCTCTCCGGGCCTGGGAGGAGGCAGCTGGCTCCAGCGGAGGATTACCCGTGTGGGTGGCCTGGCACAAAGACCCTCTCTGGGCCTCAGTTTTCTCGTTTGTGAAAGAAGAACAGCCTCTACTTGCTGGGGTTGGTTAAGCGCTCAGGCAGCTGTGTACTTGGCCCCTGGTTGCCCGGCCCATGGTTGTGCTCGGCAAGTGCTGGCCCTGAAGTGTGAGCAGGAGACGGGGCGGGTGACAGGACACTCCTCCCCCGCTGTCCTCTTCCGCGTTTCCTGAGGGCCTTGGGACACAGCTCAGCCCGCTAGTGGGGCCACTTGGGAGCCAGAGAATGAAGGTCCGCAAGGCAGTTAGTGACACCGGGCCTAGAGCCTTCTTAGGAGTTTGTTTTTCTTTCAGACCCAGAAGATGTGGACTGCACGGCTCCTCAGCACCACACAAATGTGAGCCCCCCCAGCCCGCCCCCTGCCCTGCTACTCCATCTGCAGGGGCAGGTCCCAGAGAGGACTAGGGAGCTGGGTGAGGGGCCCGTGCGCCCACAGTTACCTCACAGGCTCAATGCCAGGCCCTTGGGTTAGCTCCCCGATTGCCTGATCGGGCCTGGCAGGACGTTCGTTCGGTCCCAGAGGGGGGCACGTACCTCCTCCAGCTTGGGAGCCTCTACCTCTCACGTGGGTTATCCCCCCAGCTGGTGGGCGGTGGTACTTGGCTGTGCCCATAGCCAGGGCTCCTCTCTGTCCAGGATGGGCTGGACGAGAACCAGGACAGCCCTGAGGACCTTGGGAACGGTCCCTGCATTAACAAGGAGAGCAGTCTGGAGAGTGCGACCAGGTGCCCCAAGGAGCCAAGAGCGCAGCCTGCCGCCATCAGCTTCCTTGGGGCGCTCCGGATCCCGGTGAGAAGGAACGGAGGGGAGCGAGAGGCTCTCTAGATGTCCCTGATGGATGTCAGGAGATGGGGGGATGCTCAGGGGGGCCTATGGCTTCCAGAATTTCTTTATATGAGGTGCTTAGGGTGAGTAGCCAACTTGGGGAGGGTAGCATGGGAGGCTTGTCCTGACACAGCACTGCCTTGACTGAGATGGAGATGTACTTGAGGTTGCTTTGTGCGGTAGGTGGTGGCGGTGCTGGGGGTGCCGAGCCACTCCCGGGGCTAGCCCTGGCCAAGCATGTCTTGCGTGCCTTTCGTCACACCCTCTGTCGTGCTCTCCAGGGTGTGGTCGAGTTCTCCTTGTGCCTGCTCTTTGCCAAGCTGGTCAGCTACACCTTCCTTTACTGGCTGCCCCTCTACATCTTCAATGTGGGTAAGAGCAAGGGGCAGAAGAGGGGGGACGGGGTCTCAGAGGAGGCCAAGGCCCTCTCTGATGGGGAGAGGAAATCTGTCATGTGATGCGTGTGACTCCAGAACATAGTCAGGATGTCTGCGGAACCTCTCCTAGGGCAAAGGGAGACTTTATTTATTTAGTTTCAGCTGGAAGGTAGACCTCGTACACCACCTCATAGACCCTGAGTCCAGCCACCTTTCTTCCCTTGGACCAGAGCTGGGGGTTAGGAACCCAAAGTTGTGTTCTGTCATCCTTCCTAACTTCTTCTCCAGCCCTGAGTGTAGAAGCACCCACCTCCACCTGCTTGGCTCATCGTAGATGGGAGGGACTGGATGGTGCGGGGACAGGTTTGCCTTTGAAAGCCTCCCACAACCCCAGGAAGAGGGCCTGGTGAGCTACCCCCCTGCCTGAAGCCTGGTGGTGAACACCGCTCTTGTCTCCCCAGGGGCTGCGGGGAGCCTCCCAGGATTGATGCCTGGTGCCTGGGTCAGCGGCAGCAACATCCTTCTGGGCCCACTCTCCCCGCCTCTGCCCTTAGAGCTCTGCCAGGGCCCAGGGCCTCCACCCCTGGGTGGCGAGGCCAAATCCCAGCCCATAACTTGCCCAACAGCCTCGTTGCAGGGCCTCTCTCAAAGATAGAGGGAGCGCGCCAGAGCAGCTCTGTGGACACTGGGACTCTTTGTTTTGTGGCCTTGGTGCCGACTTCACAGTGAGTCAACCTTGAGGGTTAGGCTACAGTTCCAGCTTCTGGACCCTCCCTTCTCCAATCCTGAGGTCCCCATTTGCCTGTGAGTCTCCTTCCTGGCTCTGTTTATTAGCGGAGACATCACATGGGTGTGGAGGCGGGCCGGGAGCTCAGGAGCAGAGCACAAATGGGGCTGGTTGAGCTGCAGCTCAGCAAGAGCAGTGGTGCCCCCCGGGGCCAAAGTGGCCCAGTGGGACAGGGTTCTCCCGGGCCAGACCCCAGTGCTTTTAGGGGAAGGCTCTTCTGAGAGGTCAGAGCCAACCTGCAAGGGGAGAAGGAAGTACAGGATGGGGTGGAGGGGCAGAAAGGGTGTCCTGTCTCAGACTGCTGCACATTTACTTGTGATCCTGGCCAGTGACTTCCCATGGGTCTGCACTCCTTCCTCTGACACTGGAGGCAGTGGGACTGGGTCAGGTGCTCCGCAGGGCTTTTTCTGGCCGTGGCACTCCACGACGTTTGCTCCGAGCCCCCAGGTCTGACCACATGTTTTTGTTTTCCACAGCTCACTTTAGTGCCAAACAGGCTGGGGACCTGTCTACCCTCTTCGATGTTGGTGGCATCATGGGTGAGGCCCTGCCATATTCTGCCCTGGGCAGTATTCCCCCTTTCTCTTGCGGGGGTGCAGAAAGAAGGGACGGGTCCAATGTGACGTGACCTGGGTAGATGGCATCAGAGAAAAAAGGGCTCCTGCCCAACTAAGAAAGTTGACCCTCGTGTTTGATCTTCCCATAAAGCAGGGGGTGTGGGGAGGGCTTCAGAGGGAGGAACCCTGCTGGTTCCGGATGCCCATGCCCGGGCGAGTGGGGGGGGGGCAAAGCTTGGGGTGCCACGCTAGCGGGAGGCCGTGGTCACACCTGGAGCAGCTGGGTTGTGTTCCAGGTGGCATCATGGCAGGGCTCATCTCGGACTACACCAATGGCAGGGCCACCACCTGCTGCGTCATGCTCATCTTGGCTGCCCCCATGGTGCGTATAACCTCAGGAGAGAAGTGCACATGTTCGCACGTACCTGCTGAAATGTGTGCTCACCTGGGCATTTATGCACACGCCTGTCTCTCTGTGTGCATGTACATCCATGGGCACGCTGGGGGAGGAGAAGCCTGGGGCAGCACAGGAAAGAGATTCAGACTGAGAATTTTGGAAAGGGGTTAGCAAGGATTTGGTCTTGGTGGAGAAGGGGGAGGCCAGCTGCTAAACTTCCTGGCCCAGGAAAGAATAAAAAATTAAGGTTAGATAGGAGAGAAGCCTTTTTGAGAAATAGGAAACAATAGCTTCCCACATCTTAGACCCTCCATCCTGGGGAACATTAAACACCAAGAGGCCTGGGTTTGAGAAGGAAAAGGAGTAAGGTGGCCTCTGGGGTTCCTTGGCAGGAGAGGGTGTGCCAGACTTCTGGGCTCCAGTCTAACCCAGGCAGCCCACGGGGAGGGCTGGGTGTGACTCTGCCTCTCCCTTTTCCTCTCTCAGATGTTCCTGTATAACTACATTGGCCAGAATGGGATTACCAACTCCATAGGTGAGGGGGTGGCCGCAAGTCCGGCCACCACACAGGAAGAGCATTGCCTTGGAGGCCCCAGGAAGCCGGCTTGGGGGCATTGGTGGGAGGCACAGGGAAGTGGAGGCTCTCAGCCTCACGCCTGGGGGTCTCACCTGCTTTGGGGCTGGGGCTCTCACCTGCTTTGGGGCTGGGGCTGGAGGTGGCCCCCTCATCCCTAACCAGCTGTCTCTGTCACTGCCTCAGTAATGCTGATCATCTGTGGGGCCCTGGTCAACGGCCCTTACGCACTCATCACCACTGCGGTCTCTGCTGACCTGGTAAGCGGGCTGCCTCCCTGGGGCCGGGCATGACTCTGGGGGCTTGGTCAGGGCCTGGGGTCTCCAGGTCCAATACCCCACATTCCTACCCCCTCCCTGGTGCACAGAGATCCTGGTATAGGAGAGCCTCAAAGTCCTTCAGATTCCGCCATCGGTCCCCCCGGCTTTCCTCTCAACTCCAAGGCCCAGTTGCTGCCTTGCCCCAAGTTAGCCCCACTCCTAGTCCTGGTGCTGCCTCTGCAGTTGGCCTCTCCACCCCGTTCTCTCCCCCCAGGGAACTCACAAGAGCCTGAAGGGCAACGCAAAGGCACTCTCCACTGTCACGGCCATCATCGACGGCACTGGGTCCATAGGTCTGTGACTCTAGCTTCTGGCCCCTGGCAGCTGAACCCTGAGCCTTGTCTTGAGCACACTTCTCGGAATGCTGCCCTCGGGTGGGCAGGGAGCTTAAGGGACCCTTGTCGGGTGCCCTTCTCTGACGTTGTGTTCTGCGCAGGTGCGGCTCTGGGGCCTCTGCTAGCTGGGCTGATTTCCCCCACGGGCTGGAACAATGTCTTCTACATGCTCATCTCTGCCGACATTCTGGCCTGCTTGGTATGAGTTCTTGGGGGTACACAGATGGGTATTGGTGGGGGTGAATGTCCTGTCCTGCCAGGCTGGAAACTTGAGTTCCAAAGCATTGGCCATGAGGGTATCTGGGACAATGAGATCAGCTGCCCGGCACTCAGAATCCCTTTCCTCCCATGGGTCACCCTCTGCCACATGAAACTGTGTGCCCACGACCTTCCTTCCTGCCAGCCTCCCCCCCTGCTCCGCCCCCAGTCACCTAGCACTGGGGACTAACCGTGTGGTCAAGGCTAATGTTGCCCTCCCCTCCCTCTGTGCCTCGGACACAGCTCCTCTGCCGGTTGGTGTACAAAGAGCTCCTGGCCTGGAAGTCATCCCTGAGCAGAGACAGAGGGTGAGTCCTCCAGACAGCTGTGGCCTCACCTCCCCAACCTCACCTCTTATGGAGTGAAAACCGGTGCTCACTTCTCCGCACCCAGTCTGAGCCCACCTGCAGCCTGGATTGGGGCTGGACCCTGGAGGTTCTCCCTGTGCCCCCACCCCCAGCCCCACTAATGTGTCCTCTGTTGTCCCCATGTGTCTCCATAGCTCTAGTCTGGCCCTAACCCACCCGCGGTAGTATTTTCCTCAAGTCCCATGACTTTGTGAGTATTTTCTTCAAGTTGGTGGCTAATGTGCCCTTAGAGTGGGGCCTGCATGCAAATCCTCTCACCTCCGGTGTGATTTTTTCCAACTTTCTCTTGTTCCTTGGGGGCCAGCTCCGAAGACTCTCCACCCGAGCAGAGCATGGTGCTTGGGAAATGTTTCCTAAGGAGCCTGAGCTGCCACAGAGCTTGGCAGACTCTTCTCTTTAGGGGGGCGCAGTAGGGCTTTGGCTGTACCCCTAGGACAGAGGCAGGATCCAGGGAAATCGTTTTCCCTCTGAACTCAGACTCTGAGCCCTACGTGCCTCCTAAAGTTCAGAAGCCAAGATCATCTGGCCCCTCTGCCTGGGGTGTACAGGAAAAAGCAACAACCAATCAAAGCCTCTGGGATAAAACTCAAATCAAGCCTCGGTGGCTGGCCTGGTGTGTTCTCTGTCTGTTGCCCAGTGGTGGTGGGTATGGAGGCTGCACAGATAGGGTAGTGGCTGAGGCAGAGCCAGCAAGAGGCTGGGCTGTGTGCTGGTGCTGAGGGGAATGTTCTCTCTGGCCATTCTGGCTCTCCTTCTGAGCAGGAGGTTCTGGCTAATGAGGAGCTGGCCAGAGCCCTGGACCTGGTCCTGCATGGTGAATGCGTGGAAACAGCCCCTGGGGTCATGGTGACCAGCACAATATCCAGGGAAGCTCTTCCCCTGAAGGATGGCATCTTCCAGGTTCAGGAGCAGAAACACTGAGAGCAGGAGGCATGAGCAGTGTCTATTGCGCCTGCCCTGGAGGAGGGAGCAGGGCGACTGGTGCTGCCCCCACCCCCGCCTGCCTTCCTGGGCCCGGCCTGAGGGGACACTGGGAGGGGGAGAAAAGCAGCAGGAAGTGGGGAGGGGGTGAATACTTAGTCAGCACCTGCTCCGTGCCTAGAATTGAGTCTGCCTTCAGACGTAGCCTCTTACCTCTTAGCAACCGTGAGAGGTCAGTTCTGTCATCTAGAGATGAGAGAACAGAGGCTCGGAACTCAGGGAATGTGCCTAAGGCCTCCAGCAGAGCCTAAATTTGAACCCAGGTGTGTGCGGGCTTGCTTTGCTCTGGAAGCCTGCCACCCTGAGCTGGGCCGCCTCTGAGGGAGGCTGGTGTGTGGGGAGCAGAGGAACTTGCTAGCGCAGGGGGAGCACTGGGCCTAGAACCAGAAATCCCTGGGTGATCCTGACTTCTTGGCTCACTTTCATTAATAAGAACGTGGGCATATCCTCAGAGCCCCTACATACTTATAACATGGGGGTGCTCATCCCTAAGCACCCGACAAGGTGATCTGAGGCTGAGGACGGGATGGGATCTGTGATCCCGCTTGGTCAGACTGTCAGATGTGGCACCAGCACTGCAGGGTTTTCATTATCATCCTGGCTTGCTATTTGCAGCTGACGGGGAGGAAGGGAGTCCTAATGACAGAGACCAGGCATGAGAGGCAATTAGTAAGGGACCCTACGAACCTGCCTTGCCTGTTCCTCCACTGGGGCAGAAGCTTATGAACCTGTCTGTGTCTGACTTTCCTTCCCTTGCCTCTCCCCCCTCCTGCAGGTATAAAGAGATATGAAGTCCTGATTCGAAGAGAAGCACGGAGGGCCCCAGCTGATTCCCAAAGTGCTCCCCCTACCCCCCCACGGGGGGCAGGACAATGGAACCGGCCACAAACGGGCTGACAGGGCCGCACAGGGGCTGGGAGGTTCTCCAGGGGAAGGGGCCCGCCAACATGAGGGATGCAGGACTCACGGCCCTGAGCTCTGGAAGCGCAAGCAGAAGGGTTGGGGATCAGAGCTGAGTGGTGTCTCCAGCTTGGTGAGGGAAGGATATGCTCAGACTCTTGCTTGTTTAGATTCCAAGACAGAGGCAGGGGCCTGACATGGGCCAAGGCCTGGCAAAGGTGTGTCTCTCCTTCCCATGTGGAAAGTGAACCTCAGTGACCAGCCTGTCCCTGTCGGTGGATTTCTGACCCCGTTTCAGAGCTGCCCGTCCTCGCTTCCTTCCTTTGTCCGCGAGCCAGTTCTCTGGTGTATTTCCCCATGCTGGAACCTCTTCTACCCCGCATTGGATCCTCTTTCTGACTCCTGACCCGAGCCAATTAAAGTGTTATTGCTGAATCCTCCGGGGCCAGGACCAGGGAGAGGCAAGGGAGGTGCCGAGGGGACGCGCGTTAGGGAGGTATTGCTCTTGGGCCTGGGGCTGGGCCTCCCCGGAGCGTGAGGGCCTCCCTGGCCGCAGTCTCGTCGTCCCAGTCCTGTGTCCCCGGAGAAGGAGCACATGTCCGGACGGCGCCGGGAGCGGGGCAGGCCTGACTAAAGCCACCGGCGCCAGTGACGACCCAGGGCTCACCGGACGCGAGCCCTGCTCTGGGAACGGAGGAGACGGTGGGCCCGGAGAAGGACTTCCGGCCCGAGCACAGGGCCCAGGGTGATGAGACTAGCAAGAAGGCAGGCTGCTGGTTCGTGCAGGCCCGAGTGACCGGGCAGCGGCCCGAGCTCTCTGCGGCCCCCCCCGCCCCGCCTCCTCCCCCCGTGTTCCTGCCGTCCCGCTTCCCCCCCCGCCCCGGTCCCCCCCCTCCCGGCTCCCGGAGGGCGGCACGCCAGGCCAGCTCTTGGCCTTGCTCGCGGACCCCCGAAGCCGCCCGTCAGCACAATACAGATCCTTGTCAGGCTTGGCGGGCCGCGCGGGCTGGCGGCTTGTCGGCTTCCCTGAGCACGTGCTCGCGACCAGGCGGGTGGCCTGCGCCAGAGCCCCGCACAAGGTACAGCCGTGGCGGTGGCCAGGGCAACACCGACACGGTACACACTGCCCTGGTGACAGACTGGGAAGGCTGACACTCACTGGGGCTTTGAAAGCAGGAGACGGTCCGGGACCTCTAGGTCCTCAGCCCCCGCCGCCCCGGGCCGGTGCTGCAGGGCATGGCCCCTTCTCTTCAGCTTTCTCCGAGGCTTCTTTCAGAGCAGAGGCATCGGCGCGGCCGGCGGAGGGAAGCCGCTAGATGGCGCCATCATCCCCCGGCCGAGCCCGGCGTGGGCCCGCGCACTCTTCGCGCGTCCAGGCTGGGAGACCGAAGCAGAGGGCGCTCGGTTCACCAACTTTCCGTTTCGGGTCAGGGTGGGAAGCCTGGGAGACTCCCTCCTGGGCTGGGAGACCGCCGTCGCCTCCCCACTGGCGACCGCGGAGCCTGGGTCCTAGCCTAGAAGCCGGTCCTGACGTGACCTACCTCAGAGGACGGGCGCGAAGGGACGCGCGTCAGGACCCGGCACGCTGCCCGCCCCTGCGGCGCTTGTCCGGGAAAGGCGGAAGATGGACAGACCGACACACTTCTGAACAGTACGGGGGAAGCCCTGGAGATGGTGACTGGAGCCCAAAGGCTTCACCGTGCGCCAGTCCAGCCTGAAGGGCGAGGGGCGGCCCGGCGGGCGATCCCAGGGCCGCGGGGGGAGGAACGGGTGTGAGAGGCGCCGGAAGGAAGGACGAATGGGACTTGGGCAGGCGGCTAGTTTGATGAGGTAGGGAGGGCGCCTGGGAGAGGGAGGACGTTGAAAGGAGCGCTGAGCCAGCGCCTCCCAGTGCCGCGTGGGGACCGGAGGAGCGGCAGCACGTGCCCGCTCGTGCCCGGCCCGGGGGTCGGGGTGGGGGGTCAGCAGAAGGCGCGCGGAGCCCAGCGCCCGGTCTCGGCAACGAGGAGGGGCGCTGTGGGCGGGAGTCCGGGGGGAGTTGGCGAAGGTGGAGGACCCCCCCGGCCCTGAGATGTGCCCCTCCGCAAGGCCTCCCAGGCCCCAGGGTCCCTGCCCCACCTCAGCTCTGGGCACTGACGGTTCCCCGGAAGCCTGCTACCTGCCTTCTCTCTGGGCCTCAGCACTCGCTTGGGGCTAATGCAGGAGCATTACGTTAATTAGTTATTCATTTAATTTAACTTCACATTTGGTCTCAATTAAGCTTAAAGTGTTCTTCCTTATAGATGTTACAATAGCACTTGTAATTAAAAAGCAATAACTCTTTGCATTTCTCCTTTAGAGAGCCATTGGGAGGCTGGGGTGGTGTGCGGTTGCGGTGGGGGAGGGGGGGCAGGGAGGAAAGAAGTAATGAAAAGAAAGGGAACCCTTGGCACTCTGAGGCTTTCAGCAAGGCTGAAGTTGAGGGGTAGGAGACTCAGCACATCATGGGCACCGGAGAGTGCTCCTGGAGATAAAGGGGCAGACCTCCTATATAAAGCCATGAGGTGGGGAGAGGGTGGAAGGAAGCAAGCCTTAGACCCGGAGGGTGGGGCCGTAGATTCTGTGGGGGGGAGAGTAACACTCCCTCCCCCCAGAGATGCCCACATTCTAATTCCCAGGACCCGTGAATATGCTACCCGCAGATGTGATTAAGGACCATGAGATGGGGAGACTATCCTGGATGGTCAGCGTGAGCCCAGTGTAACCACAAGGCTCCTTATAAGTCAAAGAGGGAGGCAAGAGTGTCAGTGGTCAAATTAGAAGATGGGGCTCTGAAGACAGAAGAAGGGTACACTGGCCCAGGGTTGTGGACAGTCTCTAGAAACTAGAAAAAGAAAGGAAATGCGATTCTCCCCTAGAGCCTCCAAAACCTTTCTATGAGCCTTGTGAAACCTACTGCAGATTTCTCACCTCCAAAACTGTAAGATAAGAAATCCATATTGTTCTAAACCAGTAAGTTGGTGGTACTTTGTTACTACAGCAATAGGAAGTTATAACCTGTTCCCCAGTGTCAACTTGAGGCAACATCAATTTGAAGACAGAAAAACCAAAGAAATCCCCAAAGATTAAAAAAAAAACATGGAGGGAATGGCTATGTAGCATTTAGGTTCGGGGTTAACGCTGCCTCTATGACCACCCCAAGTTCTCTGAGGACAGTGCCTGGCACATCCTTTACAATACCCAACATGGTGTGATGAAAACCAGAAAAAGAAACTTTCTCATTCTGTTTGTGGTGTTGGGCCCTG